AGATGTGGCTTCGCGCTGTAACATGCAGACAGAAATGAGGAGGAGTGCTCAGTAACCAGGACAAACACGCAACAAACAAACACTGTCCAAGAAAAACTCAGTGATGGACTCATTTATGGAAGCGAGGCTGTAGCACTCCACGTAATGTGTTCAAATAGAAAAACAAAGCAGATAAACCAAGTTGTCCTCCGCCTTTGCTTTGTGAGAGCAATCTGTTTGCTCTGCTGCAGATTATTCACCACAGGAAGTCATGCTCTGCTGGTTGTTGCTCTAAAGAATTTAAAATGTCCTCTGTACAGTCAAATATAAAGATCAATATCAGCTTCAGCTCAAAGTCCAAGATGTTTATTGGAACCACATACTGATTTTAGAGAGCTTAAAATGTGTTGTCTTGCATTCTCTTTTTTAACAGAAACATTCAGCATTTTGGCAATAATTAGATTAATTATACGAATATTTAAGACTCATAACAAAGGTATATATTACCTTGAAATATCTGCCTCAGCACGTACAGGTGAAGTCTGTGTGCCATATCACCTCGTTCACAATAATGCTGGTGTCATTTTTAATATGATACGGAAAATTCATATTGTGATACTTGTGATATTTCGACTTGTTGACATATTGATGTCATACTGTTACCCACGGCAACAACAAGCATGGCTGAAAGCAAAATGACTCCTGACTCCTTGGTGGCTCCAGAAAGAGGAGCAGCTTCAGTAGTGTGGAATAAATTGTGGCGTCCTGAATGTTTTCCTTCTCTTAGCGCTCAGAGGGAACTCATTCAGCGGCTCCTCTGGCAGCAGCACAGCGTCTCTCCCTCTCCTCTCTGATTCTTTGGTGATGGAAACCTACGTGAATAAACTCCATATATGTGACTGTGTCATAACAGCCTGTCACAGGTTACAGCCTGATGGTTAGAGATGATTTATATATATAGATCCCAGGGGACATTTGTTTAAATGTGTAATTAGTGGTAGATTTGATTTGGTTGTACCATAAATATTGTAACAGAATCTGACTCTGAGTTACTGTTGTTGTTCACAAACTAAAGAAACAAGAGATAATTTTTCTTTAGTTTTTACTGAAGATTTGAAGCAAACTATAAAACTAGATCATTTATTTTGTTGTAATTCTATGTTCTTAAAGTAATAATATATATTTTTTACTAATTTGTCATATTGCCAAAGAATGTTGTTATTGCAAAAATACCCTGAAATATCCTGATATTATTTTCGGGGCCACATCGCTCACCCCTAATTCAAGCTTTATTTGTTAGCAGCAAAACCCCCGTAGAACTAGCTCTGTTAGCACTGTTAGCAGCTTCAGCACAGTTGGTGGTGCTGACATACTTAACTATTTTAAAAGCCTTTTGTGGTTCAAAATAAAGTCACAGGGGCTACCTGTGGGGAGACCGGAGGATGGGCACATTGTATCTGTAGCTAACTATTGACTGAGTGGCGCTGCTCCTGCCCGCCTGCCACGAAGTGTAGAGCAGCTAGCTAACTAGCAGAGATCGCATGGTGGGCAATGGGCATTATGTTTCCGCATGTTAATGCAGCTAGCCGGCTGTCTGTCAGCAAAGCCGACAGAAAATAAAATAGACATTTACGTCACAAATCATTAAAATCTCACCTTCTCTTAGAGCTACTCTTACCTTTCTTGCATTTCACGCAGCACTTAGAAAAAATTTGAACATCCACAACTCCACCTCCCTCCAAAGTCCCATCCCCCTCCTCCATTACGTCCTCATTACGTCTATGATAGACGTAGGCGTTGGCAAGGTAACATTACATACACGGAAGAGGAGAGCGAGTGTAACGTTATAACCAAGACAGTCAAACACAACCCCGGAGTTTTAAAACTCAACCGGACTCAGTGATGACTGATGAGTTTTAGAATAAGGTTACAGTGCTAACATTAGATAGTAGCGTTAACATTACTAGTAAGTGGAAACGCACAAGGAAGATAACGTTAATGTTTCAGAGGCTACGCTACAGTAGGCTAACGTTAGCCATTAGCGACTGGATGCTGTGTTGTCATATATAACGTTATAGCCTATCTTACATTAGAGGCAAACTAAAAATACTCGTCCAGCAGAAACTCTGCGACCATCTCGTCCCTTTTTAGCTCAGGATGAAGCTGCATCAGTCTTCGCCATCGCTTGAAAGCAGAGCCGATGTTGACCCGAGGTTTGGCTCTTGCAGCATTGAGTTCTCTCTCAGTGTTAGCTTTTTCTGCTATACTCTTTGTTTTGCCAATTGATTTCCCTGTTGGAGCGGCTGGGGGTGGAAGCGGTGGTCCGCATGTGTCTGCCATTGTTACTTATCAGTTAATGGATGTCAGGCTGTCATTTTGTTTTGGTTTCTGTTTTGAAATATTTTATACAAAATTTTGACAGACAAATGGAGTTTAGAGGAGCTCTTATGTAACAAGCTGCTTTACTTAGCAGGTCCCGCCCTACTGTGATGTGATTGGCTGGTAGATATGATGAGGTTGGTGACGCTTAGAGTTAGGGCAGAGAGGTCATGGTTACTAGCAGATGACAACATGGTTGGACCTGCCAAGAAAAGCAGTGGGATCCATAATAACACAGTTTAGAGCAGATCAACAGACGGAAGGATCAACACTGGACGACTCCACAAACACCTGACAGAGTCTAAACCTTTGAAGACACAGAGTCAGGGAGAGATCTGGATGACGGTTTTAAGAGTGAAGGTTAACAGACTGAACCGTAACCTCACACATGAAAGTCAAAGTCTTTAATGGAAACACCTGAAATTAACAGCTGGGTATTTAACTGTATAATGAAGGACCCTCATTGACATAATACATTCCTGAACCCTTACCCTAACCTTAAAGGACAACATCACCCCCCAGATTACCATTTGTGGACTCAGCCTGTGTTACTTTATATCGTGACAATAACTTATTATTCTCTTGTTGAAGAAGAATCCAAAAAATGGAGAAAATTTGTCAAAGTCAAAGGGTCCGCCTTTAACAACAGCAAAACTGTATCAAACATTTGTTTATGAACTCTGATACAACTCGTGCAGTATGATCCAAGTCTTATTTATCCTGTCGTATGATGAGAGAGTGAAACTTATGTGTTCTCTTCAAAGCCAGACGCTGCTGACAAAAACAGTAATTTGAATCTGCTGAACACAGGAGCTGTCCAAGTCCTTCACAGGCCTGATTTCTAGACCTGCTCCTAAACCAAGACAGCGCCTGCAACACCACAACTGCCCCCCAACCACACATATGAGCAATTAGTGCTGTGACCTGACCTGACCTGACGACACAAGGCCCAGTGTAGCTAATTTCAACGTTTATGACAGGGGCTGAATTTTTATATAACTCACATGTTAGCATGTGATATACATGCATATGTGCTTTGAGTGACAGGCCGTCTGCTGATAGCGTCCTCGGCTTCTCAGTCAGATCCACCCCTCGCTCCTCCACAGCTCCACCCTCTCACCAAAATATGGTTCTGGATGAGAGGTCTGCTCTGATAAACAAGATGGCAACGGCCAAAATGCCGAACTCGAGGCTTTAAAACGGGAGTCCACAAACCAGTGGGTGACGTCACCAAAGCTACGTCCATTATTTTTACAGTCTATGATTAAAACTTTAAAATGTTAAATTAAATTGTTCTTATTTTGATGTATTTATCATCGAACACCTGCACCTTGTTTTTTTCCACCCAGAGCCAGAGTGGGAAATAATATTAAGACGAAACACCACCTGTGAATCAGCTGATTTGCGAGTCACTTGCTGGGTACCCGACCTGATGCGGGACTCTGGGAGCTGCTGGTCCAGAGTCGGTTCAATCAAACTCAAGTTCATTTGCCCCCTCAGTGCGGTTTGTTTGTGCATGTGTGAACACAGCAATCACACTCACATGTGCACCAAAACAACTGAGACCTTCTTGAAGAGGTGGTCTCAGTCTGGTTCCAAAGGAACTCTGGTGCGGTTGGTTTGTGGTGAGAAGGTGTTCCGACCTGGATGTGAAGCAACTGCAGTCACATGACACATTGTTTGGGTTAAACATGAGCATGTTACAGTCCTGGAGGATTATTAATGTGCACCTCCTCCTGTACTGCCTTAATATGCACATTCAGCACATCCAATGCATCAAAACATTGTTTTCTAGTTGGAGCTGCGCCTCGTTTTCAAACTGTATGTTTTGACTAAAATGAACAATGACAGCAATATAGTCCACGATGAGCAGCGCTAAAATCAACCTGTGTAGTTGTCCCTCCATTGTGACATTAGAAAGTGTCACATTTATCTTGCAAGTGTACTCTTCTTCAACGTTTGCTTTACTTCCTGGATTTTTCCCACATGGAAATTCTGACCAATCAAGAGCAGCTTTCTCACACAAGGCATTTGATCTGGTCCTCTTGTAAATGCTGCCGTGAGAACACGAACCAACTCTAGGTAATTATACAACTTTGGAACAACATGAGTCCCTGATTCAGACCAGAGGAGACCACTCTAGGGCTGACAGCAGCACTGAGCCTACGACTGGATAAATGAAACTTGGATTATACTGCACGAGTTGTGTGAGAGTTTGTAAACAGATGTTTTGATACAGTCTTGCTGTTGTTAAAGGTGGACCCCAATGACTTCAATTCATCAAGACTTTCCTCCATTTTTGGATCCTATGTTTACAGTTGAGGCTTGTGGGGAGTGACGGATATAGAAATGGTGCTTTGGGGGGGAGGTCTTCCTTTAACCAGTACACACACACACACACACACACGCAGAGTTAATAGCCTTTAGCCTTCAGTCATCAGAGCGTCTCCCTCAGTCATTGTCTGGGTTCACTGGTACTATCTGGGTTAGCGTTTGTGTGTGTGTGTGTGTGTGTGTGTGTGTGTGTGTGATGCATGTCTACAGTAATCTAACAGGGAGCAGGTCATCTCAGCAGCCATCACATCTCATTACGTCTCCTCTGTCTCTCTCAGCTCAAACACACCTGCAGCTCGGTCACTCACCTTCGTCCGAGTGAAACGGCAGCCCATCCTGACTGAGAGGCTGAGGATGACGATGGAGGGATGAAGGCTGAAGAATTGACAGAAAGAAGCAGGAAGAGGTGAGCAGCAGAGATGAGGAGGCTGCAGAGGAGGGGGAGGAGGAGGAGGAGGGTCAGACAGACAGAGAGTTTGATGAGCCTCGCTCGTCCACCAGCTCACATCTCCAAACTCTGATCTCCCACAATCCTCGGCTCATCAGCTGTCCTCCTGCGCCGCACAGCAGACTACAGCTCCCATGATGCTGCGCTGTGAACAGCAGCAGCAGCAGCAGGTTCATCGTATTAAATCCTTCTCTCTCCTCAGGAAACACAGCAACACGGGTGAGTGAGGCAGAGACAGAGAGAGAGAGATAGAGAGAGAGAGAGAGAGAGAGAGAGAGAGAGAGAGAGAGGGAGGTGAGAGCAGAGCGTCCTCTGACAGTTTCTTCTTCTGTCTTATTCTCCTCTCTCTCTCTCTCTCTCTCTCTCTCTCTCTCTCCCTCACTGTGTGTCTCTGCTGCTGTCGGCCAATCACAGAGCCCAACTGTGAGGAGGGGGCAGAGGCTCTGATTGGCTGAGAGCAGCATCAGTCAAAGGACCCATTCAGTCTCTCTGTTTCCTCCTGTCTCCTGTTTCCTTTATACTCGTCACCGTGTGTGGTGTGTGTGTGTGTGTGTGTGTGTGTGTGTATTGTAGGGCTGCCCCTGAATGTTCCTAGTGGACCAACAGTCCTCATCAGGGTCCATCAGTGGACCAACAGTCCTCATCAGGGTCCATCAGTGGACCAACAGTCCTCATCAGGGTCCATCAGTGGACCAGCAGTCCTCATCGGGGTCCATCAGTGGACCAACAGTCCTCATCAGGGTCCATCAGTGGACTGGTCTCCTGCATGTTTCTGATATGAATGTAATGATTAAATGATATATTTTGGTGGTCTGAGTTGAAGGTGTGAGAAAGAATAGTATCAGTAACATTGTTAACACTGTGCTACATTACAGAGAAATACAATACTAATGAAATAGAAATAGAAATACGTACTAATGAACCTTCATTAATATAGGCCTATATTTTATCTCCAAGTGCACGTCACACACTGAGCGAGCCGCCTGTTAATGACGCTGTGGGCTAATGGGCATGTAACTACTTCCATGTTTCAGATGATACGTCATGTTTGTAGTCGACCAATGAAGATGAGTTTACATATCACCTTGTGTTCGTCCTTCACCTTCTCAAAATGATCCCACACTTTGGATTTCCTGCCCGACATGTTATTAACTAGCCTGTGGAATAACCGCAGGTACCAGCCCTGGAAATTAACCTGACTCCTGTCTGACTGCTGAGCGTGGACACTTCCTGTGTCTGTCCTTTCAAAATAAACTCACACATGGTCGAGTCAGATAGGTTTGGATTTGTTTTGACAAGGTGCAGCTCCTCATAGTGTTTCATGTTTGCTTGTTTTGGAGTTTTTCTCTGCAACTAAGCGACCAATGAAATCTTGCCGACTAATGACCTTTCTGGTCGACTAACATTTGATTGACTGTCAGGACGCTCGTCGGCATAATGTGTGTTTCAGTGAGATTTAAGCTTTAATGTTTGCTGTGATTCATGATTTTTAAATTCTGGGCTGATTCTGATGTTTAAAATAACAATTGGGCCGAAAGCAGATACTGATGTTTTTTTTATTGTTGTTGTTGTTGTTTATTTATTTTTGTTGTTATTTATCCCCCCTTTTGTGCAAGGGAAACCAAGAAATCTACACTGTAATCGATATCAGAATCAGTCAACGTGCTTTTTCATATTTTGAACAATGAATGACCACTGAACAGTGGGTGGTACAGTGGTGCAGTGGTTAGCATTGTCGCCTCACAGCAAGACAAACCCAGGGTGGGGGGGCTCGACCGTGTGGTGGGGGAGCATCCTTATAGAAAACAACCAAACTATGTTAAAATCATTCAGTCCGTCATTACACTGCCTTTGAATGAGCACAAATTAAATCATACACATTAATGAAACAACCTTTAAAATTTCATCTTCGCATAAAAACATTGAGCAAAACTCTTTTTACTAAATATAATATCTCATCATTCCCTCTCTCATATCTTTATTATATTGCTGAAAAGAAAAGTTCTTCTTCAAACAGCTGATTTATTCAAGTTTATCCCCAAAAGTTTATTTTTTGTGATGGAAGCATTCCTCGCACATGGGACGTGTCCAAAGACCCATAAATAACTAACAGTCCCTAAGAGGGCTCTCGACCACTTGTCAGTTTTCCTCATACCTGAGATAAGAGCAAAAATAAGAAAACACTGATGAATCCCAGAAATCAGTGGGTCCTAACAAAAAAAGAATAAATCGTACACACGATCAAACCAAAAGAAAATCTGTTTGTGTAAGTTTCCTTTGTGACGCCTGCTGAATGTTAAAGCAGAAGTTGTATCTCTTCAACACTTCCTCTGACCTGTTCTCTGTCCCCACGCACAGTGTCTCATTTCCACACAGCTCCCAGTGTCTGATTGTCTGTTATTATGTTCCTCACAGAGGACACATGTACCTGAGAGTGATTATTAATAATCAGTGCTTTTATTTAGCAGGCACAAAGATGAGGTAACAGAACACGGTCTAACCAAAAGTTTGTGCTCAGAGTTCCTCCAAATAACTTTTTTCATCTCACACTTTATTAAATCCTGCTCTTGGTTTGTTCACCTGTCTGAGCGCTGATTTCAACAGCATTCACTACTCATATTAACCATTAACTGGATCGTAGTGGCCATTAAAGAACAATAAAGGTATTTCCTCTGATAGTCTGAAGGAGGATGGATAGTTAACTGATCAAATGAAATATTAATTATGTACTAATCATTCATTCCCATAACCGCTTATCCTGGTAGGGGTTGCGAGGGGGTGGAGCCTATCCCAGCGGACATCAGACTGACACATAGAGACAGACAACCATTCACACTCACATTCACACCTGCGGACAATTTAGAGTCACCAATTAACCTGCATGTCTTTGGACTGTGGGAGGAAGCTGGAGCACCTGGTATTTTCTAACATGATTAATTAAAAACATTATGGAGACAAAGTTTGGTTTCAGGGGGGCTTTGACCCCATGATGACCTTTGCACGGCCCTGCTGCAGTAAAGCGTCAGATTAAACACCATGATGATAATGCAACACACAGTTACTTTATTTTTACAGTGATATTTTTTCTACACCAACATTTTCTCTGAAACTTTATTTTGTTGGGTATAAGATCATTTTGAAGTTCTAGTGTTTTGTATTTTTTTTTTAAATTATATTTTGTTATTATTATTTTTTTGTTGTTGTTTATGCCTTCATGCCAGTGATAACTGTGACCCCAGGCATTATGTTTTCTGAGTGTCTGTACATCCGTCCCATTGTCGTGAACATAATATCTTAAGAACACCTTGAGGGATTTTTTTTTTTGCTTTTTCTTTTTTTCAGATTTGGAACAAACGTGCCAAAATAATGAAGTGATGGCACCCACAAGATACACATACATTTACTGATATTTTGAACTTCATTCGTTTGATAAAGTAGATAAAGTAGAACTTATGTTACCTATTAAGCCTTTCAGTGCAGTAAAGTTAAAAAAAAGGATGTTGTCCACGTAAAATAATCACCCAAAGAGCTTTCAATATCAAACACAAATTATTTAAAGGTACAGTCTCGAAGCAGTGTGTTTGTTGGCAGACTGTCTTCATCGTGATGTGTGTAGAGCTCTGGTTATATGCTCTGGAACATGAGCAGCACTATCCTCTTTTGCACACTAGCTCGAATGGTCGCCTACCACTGAATGTTCTATGTACTTATATTGTGTATGTTTTGTTTATTTTCTTTTTTCTCTTTTTCTATTTTACCTGATGTAATATCAACCTGCCAAGGGACTACAGATGGAAACTAGCCTACGGCTATAATCTGGCATATTTACAAGTATATGTTCATTAATATGCACTGTCCCTTTTTAAATAAATAAATTGAAATTGAAATTGAGTCCAAGACAAATTTAAGTAAATAAGTAAATCGCATAGTATCGTGTCGTGTCGTGTCGTATCGTATCGTATTGTTTCGTATCATTTCGTGTTGTATCATATCATGTTGTATCGTATCGTATCGTGCCGTATCGTGTTGTATCACATCGTATCACATTGTGTTGTATCGTGTCATATCGTATCATATCTTGTCGTATCTTATCATATCGTGTCGTATCACATCATATCTATCGTATCATATCGTGTCGTATCCGATCGCATCATATCATATCATGTGGCATCGTATCGTGTCGTATCGTATCATATCGTATCTTATCATATAGTGTTGTATCGTGTTGTGGCATATCACATCATATCATATTGTATCATATTGTGTCGCATCGTATCGTACTGCGTGGTACAGTATCATATCGTGGCTTATCGCATTGTATCGTGTGGTATCATATCGTGTCATATCGTGACGTATCCTATGGTATCGTAATGTATCTTTTTGTATCGTTTCATATTGTAACTCAACGTTCAATAAATAAGCATCAGCCATCAACCACCTGCTGATAAAATATGTAGCGGCTGCTGGATCTACTTCACTCAGCACCCAATAGAACAATAGTCATGTATTGATTAGATTTTGGAATCCATTAGCCACACAAGCAGGTGGACGAAAAAGTTCATGTCTGACCCTGCCGATGTTGTTATGAAAACCAGCACAAAAACCAGCTGGATTCACTGATCCTGGACAGCAAACATGGGATTTCCAAATCTGTATCATTCTGACTAAGATTAAAGTTTTCGACTGGGTCCATGAGAGAAAGAGAAACCAGCAGAGGGTCTGCAGACACAGAGGGACCACTTGTCGGCCATAATAATGAGGATCATTTCAGAATATGCAGACATACTTAAAGAAGGAATCTTTCACTTTAATCTAATAATTAATCTTCAGACTGAAACACATGAGTCTGCTCATGAAGAGCAAAAGTCTGATCCTCAATCAGACGAGAATCAAAAACCCATTCAAGGAACCTGATTCACGTAGGACTTTCAAGAACTCTTGAATATTATAAAACTGCTCCTTTAATCATCAGGGTGAAGAAATGTGATGATAACGGGTTTTTCTGATGAGTTTTCCTCCTGAGAGAAGAATGAGGCTGATTACAGACCAGTGAAGGAAGACAGAGAGTTATATAAGTCAAATTAATGCAGCTTAACAACGCTCCACTGACTCCAGGAAGACCTGAACACACCGCACACACACACACACAATCACACACATACACACATTAACATACAGACAAACATGACCATAAAACACAA